GTGTGATTTGCTCTCTATACTCCTAGAGTTGCTGTGGATGCGCGAGTCCTTATCATTCAGGACCAAGGAGAGCCCACCAAAATGTAGAACTGGGACAGAATGGCTAATGAGTGCTCCCTCATGCAGGTAACCAAGAAAGAGTATTTATTTGCAATATTCTGAACTAGGCTTTACATGATATAAGAACAGTACCTTGGTGATATAAGAACTCATCATCTTTTAAAAGCTCTATGTGATTCTGATTATGAATTATATTGGGAGTTCTCAATGATTGCCAGAATATATGGACATCGGTTCCAAACTTTAATATCCTTGTTGGATATTTTAATATTATAAAAATCCAAAAGAAATTTATGTCCTGTAACATGAATCTTCTCAAACTAACCTCAAGTGCAACTATGTGGAAGACTTTTGTTAATCTCTCTATGGAATCAACCCAGTTTACTTCTAAGCATTGTTTAGAATGTTAAATATGAGACGATGATGTAGCATCTGTAGAAAGAATGAAGCTGAAAGAAGTGAGTGATATTAGAGAGCACACTGACATATTTGAATAAGCAAGCTTTTATTTTAATCCTGGGTCAAGTAAGAGGAGGACTCATTTTGACCATTGGACTTCCAATGTATATGGAAGGACATTATATAAGAGGAATAGAAAATTGAGGGTTGTGTGCATGCTTCAAAGTGATATGGGGCCAAAGGATAGATTGTTTTAACACTGAAGTATACTGCATAAACTTTGAGAAATACTGTATAAATATATGGACAGAATGGTGCAATACAAGAAAGAAAATTGATGATGTAAGAAATGGAAGGGAAAATCATAGAAGCACTGTTCTTCAGAGTTATAAAGAAGATAAAATCTACTGCATGAGGAGAAACAGGCACCATAGTTAGGAAGACAAATAATCATGTTTGTGAAGAGGAACTGGGACAGAATTTATGAAGTCATGTTGAAGTAAGTGTCAACAGATACTTAGAGAGTAACTGACATTACTAGGATCATTTTAAGAGGAAATTGGGCTAGTGAATTTTGATCCTGAATATGGTATAGGCTTTATTTCTTGTGGGAAATCTTCCTCTATGTTACAGGTCTGCTTGCTCTCTCTTTTTCTGTTCTGTTCTGTTCTTTTCTCTTGCCTTCCCTTCCCTTGCTTCCCTTCTCTTCTTTCTCTTATCTGCCTTTTGGATTCACCCATCTTGTCATCTTAATCTTTACACAAAACCCCTGGCATCTCTCTGCCTTGATACCACAAGTATCAACCATGATTATAACAAAACACGTACACTTCCATGTCCCCTGTGCTCATATAACTACATGGAAATATTTATAAGTTGATAAATTCATGGTGATTTTTCTTTCATAGTAGTATCCTGTTATATGTAGTGTTATGTTTCCTTCTTATTCAACAGTAATGTGGAAATTCTCTAAGAGTACTGACATAAATATAATTAATTCACTTAAATGTCTGTTCTATCTGATAGATTTTGTGTTCTATTTGATCATTGCTAGCATCCACCTTACATTTGTTTTTATATTTTTCTTTAATGCCATTATGAATATGCCACAAACCTGCTGTGCATATATCCTCATATATTAGGATGTTAATAGCTATGCAATAGATGTCCAAAAATGAAATTGTCATGTTGAAAGGTATTTATAATTTTATTACCAATATACATGGTAAATAATATTCCAACATTATACAATTCATTCTGTAAGAAAATACCCTTTTCATTTTTGTTAGTCATTTTGAAAGCTTTGTCACTTTTGATGTCTTACATACATATACAAAGTGGTATCTGTGTATTTCATTCTGTTTTTTCCATTTGCAGGTGAATATCAGCATCCTAACATGTGTTTGTTGGTCATGTGGGTTTAGTTTTCACTTAGTTGCATGTTTATATAATTTGTCCACTTTGCTACTGGTTTGTCTTTTATTTATTAATTTCTTACAAGTTCTTGCCTATTTTAGATAATAACTATGTCATCTAAATGTTAAGTATCTTCTCTAAACTACTTTTGTCTATTCATTTAGGGTATCATTTCTCACACTCTGATAAATTTTTGAAATTGCAGTGTTTATTTGAAATTTCTACTGATAGTTGGGAAGATTCTTCTGGTGCAAGAATGTAAAAAGTAATCATGTTTTATTACCTAGAAATTTTGTCAGCCCTTTACATAAAATATTGAATGCTTTTTTATATTTGTTTATGACATAATAAATACATGTAATTTTATCAGCTCACAATTGGAAAGCTTGTTGTAGCATACCCATTTACATTTCATAATCCATCCTTTCCCTGCATATTTCTAATTTCTCATTTCTGATATTGTCATTCTCTAAGACTGCTAAGATTGGGCACCACACTTTAATAAACCTTGTATTGTTATAATGTCTTAGAGTTCTATAATATAATAAACCATCATGCTTATTTATGGAACAAATAAATTATCCTAAAATACTACAGATTCACTAGTAATAAATATATTTACAGATAATTTTGCTCTCAGCAATGATACAAGGACACACAGAAGGACATATGGAATACAGGAACAATGTGACTGAGTTTGTGCTCTTGGGGCTCACTCAGAGCCTCCAGGGTCAGAAAGTATTATTTGCAGTGTTCTTGCTGATCTACGTGGTGACAATGGCAGGCAACCTACTCATTGTCATGACTGTGATGCTCAGCCCAGCCTTGGATGCCCCAATGTACTTCTTTCTTGGCCACTTATCATTTATGGATGCTGTTTATTCTAACACAGTTACCCCACACATAATGATAGACTTACTCCATGAGAAGAAAACCATTTCCTTTGAAGGTTGTATGACTCAGCTCTTTTTAGAACATTTATTTGGTGGTGCAGAGATTTTGCTCCTGGTTGCCATGGCCTATGACCGCTATGTGGCCATCTGCAAACCACTGCATTACCTGACCATCATGAACCAACGTGTGTGTGTGCTGCTATTGCTGCTGGCCTGGGTTGGGGGTTTTGTGCATGCTGTACTTCACATTCTTTTTGTTTACAATCTTCCTTTTTGTGGCCCCAATGTCATCGACCACTTCCTCTGTGACATGTACCCCTTACTGAAACTCGCCTGCACGGACACCTACATTATTGGCCTGACAGTGGTGGCCAATGACGGTGCAATCTGTGTGGTCATCTTTTCCCTTTTGCTCTTCTCCTACGGAATCATTCTGCACTCCCTGAGGAACCTGAGTCAGGAAGGGAGGCGCAAGGCCTTGTCCACCTGTGGCTCCCACATCACCGTGGTGGTTCTCTTCTTTGTTCCTTGCATTTTCATGTATGTGAGACCTCCCTGTACCTTGCCCACTGATAAATCCTTGACTGTGTTTTACACTGTTATGACCCCAATGTTGAACCCCCTCATCTATACTCTGAGAAATGTAGACATGAAAAATGCCATGAAGAAGCTCTGGACTAGGAAATAAACATGTGGTAGCAGAGAAATGTATCTCATATGTCCATGACCTTTTGCTTCTTCAGGGGAATTATGGAGTGATTTTTTCATTGTTTTCAATTTTTCAATGTTTCTTACATAAAATTATTCCTTTTAAAGATTAATAGTTTCCATGACAGATATTGAAATAGCAATATAAGAAAAAAAATGTGGTTTCTTTTTTCCTTCAAAAATATTAATATATTGTATGCAACTTGAACTATATATGTTGCATTTGTAACACACTGTAAATATGTAATTTCCATATTGCTAAGCAAGTTATAGTTAAATGGAAAGAATATTTTACTTTTAATATTAATCATAAAGAGAAAAGTATAAAAGATGAAATTAATGAACACAGGAGATCCATAGAACAACAACTAAAAGTTCCTTATCATCTCAAAGGGAAATGCTCTGAGTTGCTGACATAGAGGCACTTTATTTGGTGTCATATTTTTATACAATAATGATCTGAAGGCAAACTATCACAGTGGATTGGAGCTAGCAGCACAGTGCAGACTCTGGGTGGATGCTCGTTGGCATCTGCAGTGACTCAGAAAGGAGGATGAATTAAAAATCCCTAATATTGGAAGACCATGTGTTGGAGAAGCCTACCTTATGATACTTGTACTAGTAGTGTTTGGAGAGAGAAGTAGGAATGGCACTGGGTCCTGACACTGCCCCTCAATTCTGGTGCAGAAGTCATTTTGTGAGTGTAACCCATTCCCTGTGGGAAAAAGCCAGGTACAGCAGAGGTGCCCCAGCTGCTTACTGACTGAGGCACCAGACTGAGCTGTCCAGTGGCTCAGGATCCCCAGCACTGCTTTCAGGTAAAGGCCAGTGAAAACACTGTCTTGGGGACCATCTACCCTGGGGCACAAGGCAGAGTAGAGCACTGGCAGCTGGACTGCTGCATGCAGGGTCTATCTGAGCAGTCAGGTGGCTGTGCAGTCAGGCACCTCTGATTTAAGCTCAGTTCTGGTGTATGCCATCTTGGGAGAGGGTCTACTGTACTGAAGCATGGGCCCAGCATATCATGGCAGCAGGGCTGCAGTTGGGAAGCTCCCAATTCCACCACCAACTGCAGACTGAGGAGAGTGCCATCTCGGCAGAGCTTCCAATCCCTCGGGAGGAGGCCAAGTGCAGCATCAGCTGGGGTGCTGAATTTGGCAGCTGGCTGAGCAGTCACTCCCCTGTGCCCACCTGTCCTAGCTGTATTCACACTGAGAGACAGAGCCCAGAGAGTAAAATATGCACAGGATAGAGTCCATCAAATTAGGACACCAAGCAAGGCATGCTCTAGAGATCACTGAATTAGCACCAGTGAGCCCTAGGGACAGAGAGGAACAAGAGCATGATCTTGAAGGAAAAGACCTGGAACCAGGGAGGGGCATGAAGTGGCTGTGACCAGTGTGATCTGGTGGTAGAAAAGAGACAGTGGAGCAGCACCACAGTGGGCACAACCCCGGAGCCATACAATGGTCCCCAAGCTCTGTGCCCATCAGGTGCTACATCCCTTCCCCACTCTCCAAATGTCACAGAGTCCAGACTCCTACTGCAACCTTTCTGTGGTCCACTAAACCCTGTTGAGCTAGGACCCCAAGTGAACTCCTTGTTATTGACTCCTAGATGTTCCTGAGGTCCAACTTGTGCACTTTGGAGCTCAGGACAGCACTGAATTTGTGAGTTCCTTGGAGAACGTATGAGAGGTGTAGACAGAGAGTAAAGAACGTACAGTGCACCATAGAGGAGCAGCAGCATCAGTGAGAGCAACATGGTGTCTCCCTTGGAGCAGTGTGGAGGGAATTGATGTACACAGCTCAGGGATTACCCTGGAGGGAAGGGGACAGGGATCAAAGAAGCCCTATCCCCAGAGATAAGTGGATGTCCAGGTGCTTCTCTGGTCTCACTCTGTCCTCCCAACCTCTACAACAATGGAAGATGTCAGATCACAGCAGAGAAACAAGAAATATCCAGCTCCTGATGCCTGTGACACAGCTGAAGCATCACAGAGCTGTGCCCAAAGAGGGAAACAGAAACCAGCTCCATGTTTCTCCAGAAGAAGACCTTTTAGCTTTGTGCTCTTGCATATTTATTTCTTTATCTCTTTTTTCTTTTCTTTTTATTTGGTACCTGTGCAAGGTGTTTCTATATGTTTCACAAAATATAAGAATTAACTAGTGCCTCAGTTTCTATTTACAAAAACTACAGAAACATGAGAAAACATGTTAATGAGATATACGCCCCAAAATAGACCATATGTTAGGCCATAAGTCATCCTGAAAGAAATACAAAAAAATTGAAAATTAATCCCCTGCATAATATTGGATATAGAGAAATGAAAGTAGGAATCAATGGCAAAATAAATTGCAAAAATTATACAAACACATGGAGATTAAATAATATTCTCTTGAATAATGATTGGGTTATAAACAAAATCAGAGAAACATAAAAATTTGCCTTGTAAACCCCAGGTCTTTATACTTTAGGGATTGTTCATAGGGTGAAAGCTGTCTGGGGAGATTACTTCATTGGAACTTGTTTCACAAGCCATAACAAATGAATCTATTGAAATAGCAATAATACAAAAAAGCTATAGAGTGAATCTGCACAGATTTGGAAGGACTAGTTTCCTATTAGAATTCACAAGTGAGTTTCCAAGAGCTAAATGCTGCCAAAGCTGGAGTGCATCTCCAGCCAGTATTTCTCCTTGATGTGTCATGTTCTATTAGTCAGCTTTGCTGTCACTTGGACAGTATATTCACATTGTTGAATATAGAAGTATAATGAACTTGTAAATTTTGGGCATTCATTCCATGGTTAACTGATTCCAGGCAAAAAAGGCATGATGAAAGGGCATGGCTAAAGTAGGTTGCTCAACCCATGCCTGGCAAGAAGCAGGATGAGGGAAGAAAGGGGTAAAGGACAATAACACACTCATTCCAGGTTACACCCAGTAAACCACTCCCTCTGACCAGGCCCTACCTCTGAGCACATGAAATTTGGGGTAGGACATTGTAGTTTTAAACATTTTGTTCCAATC